GTCAACCATCTGGAAGGGGCAGCCACACGTTAGCGTCTACGTGTATTTATTTATCCACGCTCATGTCTGTGTGGAATTGAAACAAGACTCACCGCATCCAGGATCTCAAATTTCTTCTTGGCCTGGAAGACATTGATCTGCAGGGAGAAGAAAGACACGGCATCCACACGATCAGCATTTTCAGAGACGCAGGCGACTTTGACCTAGATCGGGGGTGGACAAACTTTTTCGTTGGAGAATGGAAGGGCCGCTTTTAAATTCCTACGTTTTTTTTAAAAACGCGTTCAAAACGCAATTCCATTTGGTTTGTATAGTCTCGTTCATTTCATCAGCTTTCTGATCAATACGTGAGGGGCAAATAGTTGAGGATTTTTGGGTCCGGTGACCGATAGCCGTTGATCCGGCACGCACAGCCGCCTCCCTTTGGAAACCAACTTTAAAGACGAAAGAAAGAGATGCTCATCTCCCCACCTGCAGAACGTAGTCCAAGGCCAGGTGACGGAAGCACTTTCGGGCGACGCTGAGGGCGCAAGTGGCTTCCTCCACCTCGTGAGCTTTGGTCCTGGGCGCCTGCGCATTCTTCACCTGCGCGATCTCCACGTCCTCACGCACACGCTCAAAGTGTTTCCTGGTCTCCTTGAACTTGCGCACGTCCCTAAAGGAATCGGCCACACCTGAGTTAAATGTGATTGGAGTTTGCAAACTCTCAAATCTTGTTGACTTTTTTTTAATTCAAAGTTAAATTCGTCAGGTAACAGACAAGTTTGAGCCTTCCGTTGTCTTGACAAGCCCTTCTCAAATTTGCCCCACTGTGATGTAACAGTGGGACCATTTCATTTTCATATCACCCCCGAGACCAAGTTTCTTTGCCCATGACTTGGAAGGTAAACTGAGTGAAGATCCGCCATTATCAAGCCACAAAAGGTTGACACTGTCTAAAGTAAAGACGTCAAAGCCAAAAGGGGACCCAGAGCTGTCGTACGTTGGCTGACTTGAAAATACACTTTGACACTTGTAACAATATCATTCTTTTCTAAAAACAAATGTGACGGTTTCACTAAAAAGCAGACTTTCTTTACTTCGAAAAAAAATACTGACTTCTTGCAATATGAATTTTTTTCCCCCTTCTTTTTTTCAAATTTTTCTTTAAAAAACAAAAAACAAAACGTACTCCTTCACAATGGGGTTAATTTCAATATTCGAGTTTCTATCTAACTGTGCCGCTTGTCGGGGAGGCTCGAGGAAGTGGTGCCACCGCCAGGGAAAACGCAAATGAAGCTTTGACGGAGGCTGGCCCTTCCCTTCAGATTCTTGATTGCGTGAGAAAGAGCTGCCGCTCTCCTCGTCATGGTAACCAAAGCCCATCGGCCCCGCAGGGCAGGGGGCGAGGGGAGCGCTGGCACATCTGCATGACACGGACCACCCCTCCCGGCCCCCCTTCAAAACGAGTGATTTCAAACAGCGTTCTTCGCGGATGGCAAATGTGCTGTCATTCTTGATCCGTTGTTGGAATTTGACTGACGAATGTCAGCAAGCACCTCGGAACTTTTTTTTTTCCAAACACAATGTAGAACGTTGACCGTGTCGACACAAATGCAATTGTAGCGGCTCGCGCATCATGAACTCACTCTTTGATAAAGTGCTGCAGCTGTTGCTTGACTGAATGCTGAGCTTGATCGAAAAGCATCTGTGACAGAAATGACAAAAAAAAAAAAAAAAACAAAAGTCAACTATGCAGTGCATTTATTTTGAAAGTCGTGCTTTTATTGTAATTCCACACGTTTGAACGCTAGCACAACTGAGGGAGCAAGCAAGCGCTACGACTTTCTCGTGGGCAGTGTTGCCATATTAGCAACATTTTGCTATACTGTATTTAGTAACTTTTCAGACCCCTCGAGCAACTTAGTTTTTCCCCCAAAAAAGAGAAATGACAAAAATGACAACAGTGGTCCTAATTTTAGCAACATTTTCATTTCCCACACGGTGGAGGAAAGAGGGCCAAGATTTGGCTTAATTAAATATAATAATATTGAAAAAAAAAAAACCTAAACTGTAAGTAAATCTACAGCTTCATATACTGTACATTTTGTCGGTATCACCGCGTCATTTTACATGACTGTCAATATTTCACTTTCCGTTTAACTGTTTATTTAGCAGATTTTTTTCTTTATTTTTCCAAGTATCGTTTGCTTGTTTGTTTTGTGCCCTGCCCGGAGCTCAAAATTACACTTCAATCTTTTCTCCCATTTTTCATGGGAAACGAATTCTGCAGATCCATCAGCGTGTTGTTTTTTTTTTTTTTTGGGGGAGGGGGGGGTCATTTTTACGGTTGAAAAAAAACCCCATTTCATTGGCCGTCACTTATTAGCAGAGTTTAGCTATTGGCTCGGCCCCCATTTCCTGCGAATAAGCGGGGGGCCTCACTCTTTGATAAAGTGCTGCAGCTGTTGCTTGACTGAATGCTGAGCTTGATCGAAAAGCATCTGTGACAGAAATGACAAAAAAAAAAAAAAAAACTGTCAGAACCGCATCCATTCGAGACCGTTAAACTTTGACACGAATGCATAACGGCAGTTATTCGAGCGCGTCTTTTCAGATGGATTACGGACAACCTGGAGCCTATCCCATCGGAATTTGGGGGCGTGAGAGGGTTACGCTCTTGACTGGTCGCCAGCCAATGTCAGGGCACATAAAGGCAAACAATGGACTGGTTACCAGTCAATCACAGGGTTGATATAGACAAATACTGTAATGGACTGGTCGCAAGTCAACGGCACGCATTCATACCTGTGTCATTAAATTGGATTCAAATCAAAACTATCGATCCAACACGAAATGTCCCAGTGTAAAAAAATCAAACAAAATAAAAAAATAACGTCCACCCAAATACATATTTGTCACATGTACTTATTTTGATGATGATGATCTTAAAGAAAACACAGTCGCTGTCCTGTGTAAAAATACATATGTCCATATTTGTCATTAAAAAAAAATTATGTTAATGGTGTGTCCGCATTTCAGACATTTCATGAATGTAAAAAATGTTAACGTTATTGCGGTGGAAATGTAAACAGGGTATGTTGAAAATAGGTTCGGCTGTACTATTTCCACGGAGGTTGAATCGGGTTCGTGCTTCGGAGAGAAATGAGCTCCAAGGCCTGTTGAAAAACTATCAAGCTAACCCGTTGAGGCGTGGGGGGGAGCTAAACTTTGAATGACATCCTTATTGTGTATTTGATCTGTCAGTGAGGTAGAATTTTTTTATTAGGGCTGCAAAAAAAAAAAAATTTACGGTTGAAAAAAAACCCCATTTCATTGGCCGTCACTTATTAGCAGAGTTTAGCTATTGGCTCGGCCCCTATTCCCTGCGAATAGCGGGCGGTCCACTGTGCTGTAATTGGAGGGATGCAAAGCGTGTGACTGGCCTCGCTGCGAAGGCTGTCGGGACTTTCCCTGTAGGCCGAGGCAATGCTGGCTTGGACCGCCTGAATCCAAGCTCGTCTCAGCTTCTCGGACTCGGCCTGCAGCATGCAGCTCCTGATGGGGGGGGGGGGAGAGTACACGA